AACTGCAAACATATGTACTTTGACCGAAACATGATTGCCAGATCAAAATGGAATTACAGCATACCTCTAACACACCGTTCCAGCAGAGGGCTGGGGGTCAGGCCCGAGTCTATAACATCACCCATGATGAGGCCGCTCGCAACACAGGTACCATGTCCGGAATGCTTTCGATATCCCATGTGCCTGTTTTTGCTTTATGTGATACCGGTGCTACCCATTCTTTTATTTCTTCTCGTTGCTTGGAGGCTTTATCTTTTGGCACCGTGCATGCTTGTGATCCTCTCGAGGTTAGTTTAGCCTCGGGAAAAATTATTATCTCTGATTCGGTGATTCGCAATCTCCCTATCTGTATTGGTGGTCGAGTTCTAGAGGCCGATGCCTATGTAATTGATATGCGAGACTTTGACGTGATCTTGGGCATGGACTGGCTCACCCGTCACCGAGCTGATATCCGGTGCCAGGAGCGCGAAGTCACCCTCTATCCCGTTTCTGATCAGCCTGTTGTGTTCTTTGGGGTGAGTTCGAGGACTGTGCCTCGGGTCATCTCTTCTATGCAAGCTAGGAAGAGCCTTTCCAAGGGTAGCTGTCAAGGCTATCTTGTTTCCATGGTATCCGATGTCGTTGATGAGCGGGTGCCCGAGCGAGTATCTATCTTTTGTGAGTACCTCGACGTTTTTCCTGATGATTTGCCTGGAGGATCGCCCGATCGCCAGGTGGAGTTAACTATTGACCTAGTCCCAGGAGCCGGCCCCGTTTCTAAGGCCCCTTATCGCATGGCGCCAAAGGAGCTTCAAGAGCTCAAGGCCCAGATCCAGGAGTTGCTTAAGCTCGGTTTCATTCGTCCGAGTGTCTCGCCGTGGGGTGCGCCCGTCCTATTCGTAAAGAAGAAAGACGGATCTATACGCATGTGCATTGACTATCGGGAGTTGAATGCCCTTACAGTCAAGAACAGGTACCCCCTTCCCCGTATTGAGGACCTTTTCGACCAGCTGAGAGGAGCCAGCGTCTTCTCAACAATTGACTTGCGTTCTGGCTATCATCAGCTGAAGATCAGGGAGTCGGATATTTTTAAGACTGCTTTCCGTACCCGCTTTGGCCACTATGAGTTCGTAGTCATGCCGTTCGGACTCAGCAATGCCCCAGCCGTTTTCATGGACCTTACGAATATGGTCTTTCATCCTTTCCTGGACCAGTTCGTCATTGTGTTCATCGACGACATTCTGGTCTATTCCCGAGACATCGATCAGCACAAGGAGCATTTGAGGATTGTGCTGGAGACTCTTCGCCGCGAGAAGTTGTATGCTAAGTTCTCGAAGTGCGAGTTCTGGCTGAACCGTGTTGCATTCCTTAGCCACATTGTGACAGCTCGAGGCATTGAGGTGGATCCCAGCAAGATTGAGGCTGTG